CTCGGAGTGTTGTTCCAAAAGCACGACAGAAATGTTGTCATCAGATTTTAACAGCAAACCTAAACATCATTAGGCCTCTCTTTTATACATAATACTGCCAAGCAACTTAACACAGTAGCCTTGAATTAGGAGAAAAAGCAGCTCAGGAGATTCTTGAGACCCTGGCGGTAATTTCCTGACTAAATATAAAACAGATACAAGGGTTTATAGCACAGTATGAAACAGCTAGAAAATGGGCGATAAACTTGAAGTAATGAAAGCTACAAGACGATATTCAAGTGCTATCCTGTGAAAACAGGTTAAGGATGTACATTGTAGTGTTGGGCAACCAGTCTACTGCAAATGCCAACACGATAGCAACGGACATCTTCACGACATTCCTCTCTCTCTCTTCGAACGTTGGTCTCTTTTGTTAGCTGATTGCTCGCCTGGAGTCTTCTGAGATTTAATTTTGAAAGCAATGATGAGATAAAGAAGGGCGATCAAAACTAAAGGGAGATACAAGGTTAGAACGGCGATGGTCACAATGAAGTTTTCGAAAGACAAGGTCTCTCCAAATGCATCATTCCAGTCCCCGTCACCCCTCAGCGCTCCTTGATGCTCAACAAGTTTAAAGGCGATCAGTTGTGGGAGGCCGACCGCCATGGCGATGATCCAAGTGACGAGGACGAAGAACCGACCCTGCTTTGAACTGATCAGTGGGAAGCGGAGGAGAAATACCACAGCTACAAATCGATCCACTGCTATCAGAACCAGGCTTTGAATTGACACAGTAGTGGAGACATCTACAACAAAGGCAGTCAGCTTACACAATGCTTAGTCAGGAGGACCGCCGATAAACCAGGCGCCGTTGGTATATAATCGAATTAACTTGCGAGGAAACAGGAAAATCGGAAACAGCAGATCTGACGTGGCCATGTTTCCAATGAAAAAAACGATGGATTTTTTGAGATTTTTCGTTTTGTACACAACTATCCCCATCAAAGTGTTTCCAACCAGCGATACAACAGATAGTAGGCAGTAAGCAAAGGCTTCACTAATTGTTTTTGCTGCAGGGTTGAAGCAGCTGAACATGGACTGTGTTCCATTCATCGTAGTGGTCGCGTTTGCCCACATTTTCCAAACTAAGAAGGAGCTGAGAGCTTCTTCTTCAGGTAGCAGCTCTCTAACGCTCGAGGCTGCTTTCTCTCTTTTTTAAAGAAAAAATACATCACCACTTAGCTTGTTAACATGGCGTCAAATACCTTAAATTATTACGTCGCTCGCAGCGCCCGTGGTTAAGATGAAGCGATTCCTGTGTTCTGACTGGCTATCCGAGCGGGCAAGATGGGCCTGCCTATCTTGCCCGCTTGGGATTGCCTGCATAGATCCTGCGCATGAAAAAATTGAATTAGAACTAAGTTCGTAATTCTTGGACAGTTTCGGCGATGGAAACGCAAAAAGTGCCAAAAGATAGTTAAAAAAAAGAAAAGGGAAACAGAAACGACGATCGCGTCTGTTGAGCAACAAACAGTTGGCTTTCTTTCCCGGCTCTCGAAGCAAACAAGTCACTCTTAATTCTTAATAGTGCGAAATCTTTTTGCAATATAATAAATCCTTTATTAACTAAGCTTGTTAGGTCAAGATGGCTAGATATTAACCTCCTTCTTTTTTCGTGAAAAAAGAACTTGGCCAATATCCATCTATCTTGACCGCGCGTTTGGTTAATAGCGCATATTTAAATCGAACGTTTTCAGAAACTTTGGAAAACCACCAGCAAACATACAAATTTTTGTATATATAAGATACTACAGCTGCTGTTAGCTTGTAATATTCAAACTTATTATAAAGAGAGCAGTGCCCGTGGGCAATATAGAGCGAATCCTGATCTGACTTCAGATTGGCTGCTCGAGCGGGCAAGATGGGCCCATCTTGCCCTCTCAGGATTGCCTGCTTTGATCCCGCGAAAGAAAAAAAAAATACTTGGAACGGACAACAAAGTTCTTGAATTTTGGACTTCTTGTCTCAATCATTCTCCAGTACAGAAGAAATTTTCCGGCATGCAACTAGTCTCTACGTCCTCGGCGAAAAGTGATCTGAAAATTCTATTTTGATAACGCAAATCCGACACGTGTGCGATTGAAATAGAAATAGCCTAGTAACCGATGTTTTACATCGATTAACGGTTGCCAACTGCTATCCTGAAGGAAATTAAATTGAAGTCATCATCTACTTTACATGTTAATCAATCAATTCAACCTGTTTTATTCCTGATGGTTTTTTGAGTGATGCGACTGCGACGCTTGAACAATTTAATTTCATCATTTACCTAACAGCATATACTACGTTCTTTGGAAATAATACTTAAATTCGATGTTATCAACAATCACAAAGCTCACCATAACAGAATGGACAGTTGGCATAACTTCCAGCCTTGGTTGTTTCGGTGCACTCACGATCCTATCCATAGCATGAGATACTATTCGGTCAAGCGTCTACCATGTTTTTAAAGTGTCTACCGAGTTTTTAAAGCGTCTAACGTGTTCGATAAAGCTCAAAACACAATTGTAAGTGAACAGGATACCTTGTACTACGAGCTTTGCCTTCAAAAAGTCTCTACATTTGTTTCGTTTTAAAAATTTCTATGAAGGTATTAATTATCTTTCGCTTATTTCGCGAGACAGCGGCTGTTTCTTATATTTTCTTTCGAAATTATGCGCAGGAAATAGGGAGTGCATGCCCGACATTTGACCGCTGAGTTAACACGGAAACACAGTGGCTGGTGTTACCGTTGTCGCGTGATCTCGGTTCTGGTGTCCTACTATAAACTCCTATTGTTTCTAAAACAGCTGAAATAAATGTCTTACACCTTTCAGAAAAATTTGCTTGGATTCATTAGCGTTGCAGCGAAGCCCTGTTTTAAGGGAAGGAGGTCCTTTTTTTCAAGTGAATTTTTCTAGACCATAAGAAGTCCGTAAAATTTGTCTTTTTTAGCCACTGGTTACGAGAACGAAGGGTTCAGATTCAGATATAGCCACAAGTTTTGTAATAGTATAATTCTCATGCATTATTAATGTTCTTTTACCTATAATCAAATTAACTTATTCTCTTTTTCTCAAAACAAGGGGTATTCAGCGGTTTGCTGCATGGAAAACTGTGGGTGTAACCGTTACGGCCTAAATTTTCCTTCTTTTAAGCAAAACTTTGGAGGTATTTGAACCTCTGACAAAAGATACGAAGGGGCAGTTATTGACCCTCCATCATTATCAATCACGGGGTTTTAGAGCATACCCAGAATGTGAAAAGAAATCACATGCACTCCATGGTTGAGCTAATTTTAGTCCGCCTTTCAGTTTTGTCGATTCACTTTAATTTGTTATTTCGACATCGGTGCCCATGGTTTTTCCGTTGAAATTGACCAGCACAGATGAGGGTTAATTCAATGCTGGGTTCCACCGGAGCCTTCGAAGCTTGCATCAAAAAGGAAAGTTACAAAAGCAGATCGTAGTTTTCGGAAAGCGTACAGCAATGAGATACTGCAACGTACATAGGATCTAAAAATCGCGTGATCACAAGTTGTTCTGTATGCTTTTGTGGTTTGATTAAAAATCCTTACTCCATTAAGATAAACGATGCTTTAATTTTTTGGGGTTTAAATCAAATCTCAGGCACCACGTTTCCAAAGCTGCTATGATTTATATTATATACAGACTTAAATACATCCCGGGCAGTATTGCAATAACTCGTATGTATCTCTTTATCATCCAAAGACTCTTTTTTGAAGCGGTATTTAAAAAAAAACGCCTAAGTTTTGCAAAAGAAAAGAAAAAATAAATAAAAAGGAAAAAGGAAAACAAAAAACAAAACAAAAAAAATAACCAAAAAATGCTGCAATGACTATTAAAACTCAAACACTCGTGAAAATTATCCTCTGGAAAATCTATTAGTAACCGGTTTCCCTGGTTTCCCAGGTTTCCCACATAATTGTTTGGTTCGCCAAGAATTACCAGAGATTTTCTGCGGTATCCTCGATCGAGGCGTTTTTCTACAGGAGTCTTCTCCTTTACTAGCGATAATAACGCATTTGCCGTGACAAGCCGAAGTATCATTTCCTACAGGTTTTTTTTAGATAAGATTCAAGCACGTTTCCTTGTAATTCTAGTGCGCTTGCATGCAGAAACGTGTATTGCGTGTTCTTTAACCTAAGCTGGGAGTTTTCTTTAGACACTTTGATAAAGTTTCATCATCATCAACCACGTCCCTATCGAATAGCAGCTGTGGTCTTTTGTTTCCTGTCACGAATCCCTAGTGGTGATTAGAGATTGTAATCGGATTATATTTGGTCATTTTGATGTCGAACAAGGTAAAAAATGCAGTCAACGCTAAGGAAATAAGTGTCGTGCACAAGTCTTAGATCACGAAGAAACAATGATGAATGCTTGACAGTTTAGGTTTGCTGTCGGATGTACGTATCTAGGGCGTTTACGTGTGATAGCAATAAAACTAGGGAACCTTGTAAAATTAAGGAAGAATGATTAGAATGGTTGTGATGAGAGAAAGTATTAGGTTGAGAAATAAAGTGAAGAAAACGACAAGTACAGTCCTAAGTGTTTGTTGGACCAGCCGGAGCGCGGAGATATTTCTAACGCAGTGGAAAATTCCGCAAAAGCATTGCCCAGATGTTCCCTAATTTGCCCGCATGTATGGAAACATGCGCCATAATGAGGAGAATTTTAATGGAAAATTAAGCAAAAGTTTCCGTCCTGAAAAATTTATTTTGTAGCTCAGTTGTAACTATTTGTCCTTTTTTATCGATTGCATTCACATTTGAATCAGCCCATTAATTACGTTACTTCGGACGAAAACCTCTCAACCATAATTATCTAAACTAAGGGGCAATTTGGCCACGAAATGACGACTTTCTAGAACTTATGAAGATAAGCTAAACATAATTATTACATACTAAAATATTCGTTGTGCCTGAGTTAAAGAGCTGCTTGCTGAATTAGAGACAGATATCTCGGATTAGTGACAAGAATGTCAGCCAATTACACCGAAAATATGAATGGAACACAGTTTACGTCGAGCTGTTTCAACACTGTAGCACAAAGAATTGCTGAGATCGTTGCCTATTGTTTGCTTTTTGTAGTTTCGCTGGTTGGAAATACCCTGATTGGAATAGCTGTCTACAAGACAAAAGCCCTGAGAAAACCCATTAACTTTTTGATTGTCAACATGGCCATGTCCGATCTGTTGTACCCGATTTCCCTGTTTCCTAACAATGTGGTATGGTTACACACCGGCTCGTGGCTGTTCCGCGGTCTTCTTGGCAAGGCGTTGTGCAAACTGGTTCCCTTCTTTGTCGAAACCTCCATTGTTGTCTCTGTTCAAAGCCTGGTTCTAATAGCAGTGGATCGATTTGGAGCTGTTTTTTATCCCCTTCATGGCCCACTCATCAGTTCAAAGCTGTGCCGGTTCTTCATTCTCGCCACTTGGATCATCGCCATGGCTGGCTGGTGCATCAACCTGTTCGCCTTCAATGTTGTCGAGTATCCAGAAGGACTGGCTTGTAAGCGAACCTGGAATGACGCATTTGGAAAGTACTTTCTCTTTGAAACCTACATTGTGGTGATGAATGTTGTATTCCGATATATCCCTTTCATTTTTGTAGCAATCATTTACGTTGCTATCGCTGCAAAAGTGAAATCCCTGAAGGCTCCAGGCGAGCAAAGAGTCAATTCCAGAGAACGCCGTTTAAAGAAAGAGAAGAGTGTTCTTAAGATGTCCGTGGCAATCGTGTTAGTGTTCGCAGTGTGCTGGTTGCCCCACACCATCGGTTGGTACCTTGTCACTTTTTCATCGAATACCGGCATGATATCGTCTTGTGGCTTTCTATACTTTAGGTCTGTTGCCTATTTCCTAGCTATGGCAAACTGTGCCATAAGCCCTTGCATCTGTTTTGCTTTCAGTGGAAATTATCGCGGGGCTCTCAAGAACCTTTTTAACTGTTTTTTTTCTGCTGATCTGAGGGCTTACATATAAATTTGCAAAATATAATTATCACATAGTTAGGCTGGAATCACTGAGCGTCTTGCCAAGAGAAATGGGATCATCTTTTTTTTTTATTGAAGGAAGAAAAATAAAATCATCGCGATTCTTTTCTCTATCTTCTCCTTTTTCTACTGCGCGTTTATGACGACTATCGATAAAATCGTAAATGGGTATTATCCGTATTTAGCCGTGAGCTTTAATGAAAGTGTTTTAATGCCGCGTGCATAAAACTTGTAAATATTAGCTTTCAAAGCTGGCCATAGATAAACTTATCGCGCTCAGTACTGTTTTTAAGTGAGATTCTTGTCATTTTCTCGATTCGTGCATTTTTGCAATTGTTCTGTTAATTGTTATTTGTGGTTGACCCCAAAAGACCTTGACATTGCATGTTCTCGTCTGAAGTTCGATGCAGGTGAGCTTATGGAGAGAGCATAATATGGTAATTGAGATTTTAAGACAACTTAGTTTCACTTGAAACAGAGGAGCTCTTGAAACAGAGTAGCTAGTACAGAGTATAGCTGATAAAAAGGAAAATAAACGTTGGCTTATTCAAAGAATCCAGTTTGCGCAATATTACAGTAGATAGTGAAATGTATCAGGGTTTAATAACATTTTTAAGAAACTGAAATTATACAAAGGGTCATTTAAACCGATTTTGGACTTCACGATCGTTTTATCGAATATATATCTCGCCGGCCTTGAACATTTTGTGCAATCAACTTATAATCTGAGAATACAGTGATTCGGCTGTAATAAAATGGAAGGAACAAATAAAAAAAAACACTATAAACCGAAGAGTCCAAACAATTGTTTCCATGATATGCCTCTAAACTGCGGGTTGTTTTTTAATTTTTTTTTCATCATTTCAATAGATATGAAGTACTCAGAAAGTTTGGAGAGCACAAAAGATATGTAATAGTTATTAGGATTTGCTCGAGGCGTAGCCGAAAGCAACTTTAGCCGTCTAGGTGCTCTCTAAACTTTTAAAATTCTGCATATCTCGATGAATGCAAAGCTGAAGTTTGAACCACTTGTTATATAACATTTTCAATATAGTTCTTTAATAGTTGTAAGTAATCACATGATTTCCAGTGCAATTTTGGATAAATCTGCATAAGTATTTTTTCGAAGGCTAACCAAATTGTATGAGCCCGTAAGGCGACTGCAATTAGTGGTCTTTAAATAATGTAGGTGCTGTTTCATCCCAAACTGCACGAAATAAATTATATGATTTCTTTTTAATGATACGCACGCAAAAATTGACTTTGTTTTGCTCTTGAGTCTTGTCCATTTCATGTCATAGCTTAATGGTTCGCCGCTTGCGTTTGCGCACTTTCCCTTAAGGTATAGCTTGATAGCAATAACCATTATAAGATGGCTATCAGACTCGTAATCTTCCTCGTCTTTCTTAAGAACTGTTGGGTAAAACTCTTCCAAAATTTTGTTCAGAGCTTCCGGACACGTTTCAAGCCTTTTGCTTATAACCATTTTGGAAGCATAAGACTGACAGAGTTTTAACCAGTTAATTGTGCTTTACCTGTCTTCTTTTTTTTCCTGTATGGGATTAATTGACGTTTTCTCGACCAATGAACTTGCTGAAAATTTTGTATGTACATTATTTACTTAATCAACATTTTGAGCAACACAATGTACAATGAATCTATATTAAATCGCCTTTTTTTCTGAGATAGGCTTTAATGAAACAAGAACAGATCAATAACCTATCATTTGAGGAAAACAATGATAGTTCCATTCATAATATTTCATTCAGAAATCACGATTGGGAATACAATTAACAGAACATTCTCGTGGAGTCGGATCATATTTCAAATTCAATTTGCAAATTTGTCAGAAAATTGCGTGCTTACAGAAAACTATACTGTAAGGGAAGGCAAAGATGATAAAGAAATATTTGGAGACAACAGCTTTATCCGAAGAAGAACTACATTTGCTATTTAGCAGCGAAAAATATTTCTCTACGCGTAGGAGACAAGCGCATATGCACGAATCCGAAAATTGTGTAGCGTTGTGAAGAAAATATTAATTCCTGGAGCTGTAAGATTTAGAAAAAATATCTTCATACTGTAAGGACATATCAACACTTAAAAATAATATTTACCGGTGCGAAGAATGGTCCAAAAGAGGCGAGGCCTCACTCGGAGTCAGTCTTCATTTTCAAGTCCCAAGTCGTATGTGTTTGGGAATGGAAGCGGTTGTTAACTCGAAAGCTAATTTTGTCACTTTAAGGGCTTGAAGGTCCACTGTTCTCCAAATCGCAGAGTCGTAAACAGAATTCATTTTGATTTTGAGCTCCAAAACGTCTATCACAACCGGAATGGAACAGACAAATTATCTTGAAAACTTTAAGACTCGCGGCTAAACTGCAGTGAATGCGGAGTAAACTTTTCCCTCTCGAGGTATTTGTTTGCGACGTCATAAGCGTGCATGACGACGATAATAAAGCACGCACGCGCAAATGAATTCGATTGCCGAGTTTGCCTTTGATAAGTATTTCTGTAAATAAAACTTTTATTATTAGGAGCACATTATAACTTGCAGCAAAACATCGTTAGGAGAATTTACGTTTGAGAAGACTTAATTATAGGGGTTTAGGGCAGGTCAATTGGTGAACTCTTGGGAAGAAAAAGTAAAAAATATCACCGAATCTCTTCCTTTTTAATTCATCATATATATAAACATATATCTATATATATATATATACCGGGGATCAGTTCAAAACAAGATACCGGAATCACAAAGCTTCGCTTAAAGACAGGCGTAAAATGAATTCCACAGAACTAAGCAAACACATCTGATCCCTGAAGGACGCCGGCGCGCAATATACGTTGTCCTGGAAAATAATCGCCCATGCCAACACGTACCCTAATATCCCAAAGAAATGTCATCTTTGTCTAACCGAGAAGTATTTCAATCTACGGAAACCGAACCTATGTTCATTGAAAAAAAGAAACGAGTTGGCAACTAAGTATGCAGTAACTTCAGGTCTTGTAGTTTTTAATTTTTAAAAAGTGCTCAAACTAGTCTAGTAGGCATTGCGCAATTGTATGACTTGACCCATCCCAGTAGAGTGCTCACCTTGAACATGAAAGCAAAGCTTTGTGATGCCAAAGAGCTAAATATATATATAGAGGGAGAGAGACAGAGAGAGACATAACAATACTCGATTCACTGAAGCAATAATTTATTCCCATATTCTAACTATGTACAGTCTGTTTCACGCTTTACACTGAATACTTTGAGGTTATTTAGAACTTTTCTTTTGCCTAATGTATTCATAAATAGACACTGACGAGGACTTCATTGAAACTGTAATTGTGAAATTGAAAAAAGAGCCATCTTTTCTAATAAGAACATTGCCGATTTAACTTGAAATATCAAAATTATCATTATTTATTCAACATTATGAAACTGAGGTCTTTGGAAAAATACTTTAAGTTGATATTATCAGCCTTCACAAAGCTAACGGTAACGGAAAGTTTATTAGCTTAGTTTCCGACCTTGGTCGTTTCGGTGCGCCCTTATTTCTTTCCACACCCCGGTAACACAGCGGCCAAACGTCCACGCTAGAGCAAAGGTTAAAGTCACTAAGAGGCATCCAATCTTGATTGATTCCAACGAATAAAAACAAACCACTTCGGGAACCCACAGCGCGACTCAGAGTTTTGAAAACGTATATCCGTTTTGATAATGCTGAGCTAAATGTGTCAACGTTTGAAATCTTCGTAAATTTTTCGAGACATTGGTTGTTTCGTAAGTTTTCATTAGAAAAATCTTCCTTAGAAATTGGCGCACTGCTGGCTAAAATTGATCCGCTTGCGCATGCCTGACGTTTGAAATAACGGTGGTCTGGATAGGATGGCAAGTGTTTCGAAATACACACGACCGGAGACTGAGCTTGCTTATATATTTGGCGATGCGGTAAATCTACTCAACTCAATTTAAAACTTTACATCTTTGATTAAGATATTCTCGAACTATTTTGTTCCAAACGTCGTCAGAGACTAGAGTTCCTCTTGTATCCTACAACCAATTTTGCTCCCAAAGCTCGGCCCAGGCCTAAACACGGACGGAGCCAGATTTGTTGCTATTTGAACTCGTTTCCAGCGTCCTCATAGGCGTCAACTCCTCCTCGGTCACTTCATCATTGTCAAAGCGTTTTCGCTTAAAGAAGCCAAACTTTCATGGAAGCAAAAACAAAACAACAACAACAAAAAATTAACAACGAATATTGACAATACCCTTTCAGAACAGAATAAATTCTAAGCGTACTGATCTCAAATTGCAGTGCGTTCAAAGGTAATCATGTTGCTTTCTCGGGGAAGATTCACCATTTCACGTTTACTGATGATCGCTCAAACCAGCCTGATATAATCCGATGCTTTGGAGGGTGTGGTCAAGACGATAACAAGGGGGGAGGGGTGGAGGGGGGAAGGAGGAGGTTGGATAAAGCAAAGCGATTTCTTTCGAGCCTAGTGTCCCACTCCAACCCCCTGGATTCGCCATTTTATGCTCCCAAGTGGAGAGAGGCATTAAGGTTTCTTGTTTAGAGACCGTGGAAGTTGCCACGGTGTGGTTTCAAGGGCTCTGCTAACCAGGGTCGCTCGATGCAGTGTCCTATGTCCTCTTCAGGAGGCAAAGGTACAGATTGGAGTGTATACTTCGCACGGCTGATTCTGGAATTTCCAATTTCCAGAAAATCATATTTTGGCGAAAAAAGAAACTGTAATATTTAGCTTACCTTGTAAAGGGCGAGTCCAGCCAGACAGAAAAGTAGAAGTCCTCCTAAAACAGATACGACAATGATCCAGGCGGCCACCTTTCCTCCTCTGCTTTTCGGCGTGGTCTTTGGATTAGCAGTAAGTCGAATCTGTTAAAAAAAAAAAAAAAAACCGGCTCCTGTAACTCCAGCAAACACTGAGTGCACCATTACCACAATGTGCTCCAGTTTTTTTTTAATTTATAATTTTTTTTTTCACTTCGCTTTCAAACGAGAAGCGTGCAAACAAGTACAAGCGATCTCAAGTCTGAGACGTCTGTTTGACGACCTCAAGATAAATGACGTTACTTTGCGCCCTGACATCGTCCAACGCAATGTAACACATTAGCTAGATAAGCCCTGGGCTCTCCTCAGCAGTGAATATGAATAAAACAGTTTTTGTTTTTAAAGGATAGACACAAATTTTGAGAAAGAAAAGAGAAAAGAAGTGAACACAAACCTCAATCATATTATCTGTTGTTTTGGGTTCTTGAACGCCACTTGGAGGAGTCACATCAGCCATTGTTATAAGGTTCATAGAGCCAGCGTTCGTCTGTTGGAGAAGAAAAACTTAACTATTGAAAAACAAGAAATCTTAGAACCAAATTCAATCATTAAAAGATTTCATAAAACAGAACAAAGCATAGAAAGTGAACGAAAAAAAAAAAAAAAGAAATGCGCCCCTCAATTTTAAGGTACCTTAATGAGAGTATTCTGCCAGAGCCGAGACCTTATCTGTATCTTCACATCATCCCCTTTCTTCATTCTTCCCAAGACGCAAGGAACCTTTAGGCACGTCATGGCGCTATCAGATTTACACGACTGAAAAGTAATTTCCACAAGTGCTTCATCTAACAACTTTACTGGCTGCCTGGCATTTTTAACTCTGAGGTTATTTCGGGCAGCCAGCGCCCCTATCATTGTCTGTACTATTATTATAAATTTTCTTTCTTGTATATTTTGGGGTGAAAAAAATAAAGTTGTTGTTGCTGTTGTTTATAATTGTTGCAAAATTTCTTTGTCAATTGACATAGTCAAAACAAATCTAGAAGTTTAAAGTGACTTTCTTAAGTGTTTTTGAGCGCCGTGGTTTAACATCACAAAGCTCTCTACTTTTTCACAAAATCTGGAAACGGGGTATCCTGCGTTTGGTGCCGACTTTGCTTTAAGCTTTACCTTTCGCTTTAAAAAGACTAATTTTTCTCGCAAGTATTCTATTTTTGCACTGATAGAAATAAAACAACTTGTTACATACCAGTTCCTCGTTTGTCTGTCCTACTTCTCTCCTCCTTCTTGCGTTTGAAGAACTGGACTGGTGATCAAGTTGACTGTTGTTGGTCGTCAGCTTGAGGAAAAATATTGAATTTAATTGAAAATTAAGGCATGACTACCTTGGTAAAACCGCTTTAAGCAAAAGCATGCACTCCATAGAAAAAAACACTTCACTACTTTTTCTCGCCCGTTAAACTCTTTTGTGACCATTAGAACCGTCAGTTAAGGTTTCGGTAATACATTATAAAGCCTAACTTGAGAGCAGGCCATCTTTACGAGCGCTGCTTGGGAGACTGGAGACGAGTCGGGGAAAGGCTTTCCGGGGATCTGGCACCAATTGTCATAGCTAGAACCCTTGCAGACCACCCACGGGCTCGAGTTCCTCCTGGGCTCATTCCCCTCCCACTGGCGAAGAAGCTTGTGCTGAAGCATTAAGAACGAGGAACTTCCCGCAATCTATAGAAAGCCTTAAATACCACTCACCTGAAGATTTAGAGGATTGATCTTTACGCTACAACTTCCTGCATTTCCGAGAACCTATTGACATGGTAAAATAAAAGAATGTAAACCTCGAATGAATCCGAAAAGCAAGTGGCTTAATTCTTCTTGGTCAGATCCATGGCAAAGCTTGTTAATTTCCAAAGAACGACGACGGGTTCAGCAGTTTTCAAAACGTTATACGGACATTGTGGCCAAAATCATATTCACTTACCTCTATTCCCATCAAATATAGCAAATAGTTTGGCTCTTCCGCCTTATCAAACTTGAATGGAACCAGAATTGTAACCGCTGCAGAATCGATAGGACTGGGGCCTCTGTTCCTTACCTGGTATGTAAAAACAAGTTTAAACAGGTGTTACAGGGGCAG